TCTCTACTGGCTTGAGGCGGAGGTTATCATTTTAATGATAGCTAAAAGCAGTAGAGGCCACTCCGAGTAAAGAAATCAAGTAACTCTCAATTGACTAATCGTTGGGGTCCCCCTTTGTAAAAGCAACAACAAACAAAACCCAAGAAGGCTAAGTGATCATTTCTACCAGCTCTAAGTTTTTATTCTATTTCATTTGTTTTGGTAGATACTTTTCCTTTAGTACCTTATAAAATGTTAATTCTCCTAATGTACTTATTGTTAAACAATAGTTTTTCAGGTTTTCTGAAAGATTTATTGAGCCACATGCTCGGCCACAAAAAGACCAGATCCTGAGGAAGAAAGTCTAAACCATCAGCAGCAGCACCAGGTAGGAAAGAAAACATGTCCACCATCCTGGAACTGACGGGAGCTTTTAAACATATTTGGAGAAGAAAGATGTAAGTAGTTCTGAAAGAATTTACACTGGCTACAGAGAAAGGCGTGGGGAAAAGGCAAAGTGGGGTCAGTTCTATGACAGGTGCACAGTCTGTAGGCAGGAAATTTGACAACTGTAACGAACGACAGTCTTGAAGCTCATGCATATGCAGGATATGGTGGGCCTAGCTCTAGGTGCCTGGAGGTTGGCTCCCAGCTCCAACATGCATTCAGGATGTGAGCAGTCTTTTGTTAGTTGGCCCACAGCTGCTAATTGCTTCCCTAGTGCTTCTTCTCTCACACCCAGCCTCATGTAATTTAATGCAGGGCATCTCAGAATTTTTCTCTTGTCATTATTAACAAGGTAGAAACTTTAATGAATACAAATTGATTTCTTTTTGGAAGAGAATCCTAGGCCCCAGAAGGAGAGGTAGTATTGAAAGAAAAGGAAATCAAACGAAAAAAAAAGGAGGGAAGAAAATACACACACATATATACAAAAGCATATTTGCTTTGCTTTACTTGATATGTTGTGGACTATTTTGGCCATGGCCTATTGAAAGTACTTCCTTTTTGACCCATGCTTGCCTGTGTCGTATCTCCTTCTCCCCACTGGCCCACTCGCCTTTACACCAAGTAAAGGAAGAATGAATGAGAACCGTTAAGATACAAAATCCACCCAGTGTTGCCACATGCATGGGAGAACAGTGGTAGTGTTGAGCTCCTTGCAGCCTTGGTAATGGGGCTGCTGTTCCTCAAAGTCCTTCTTTGGAGAACACGTCCACAAAACTGATGATGTAAATTCTCCTTGTTCCTACCTGTGCAAAAATGCTGTTGCTCCACAGGTTACTATGCAAACGTCTGACTCACTGAACCCCACTGGGGTGCCAGTGGGGGGCCCTGCCAGGCACCGCCCACCAGGCAAATCTCCAAAGACAGAGTTTGGAGGAAAAGAAAGGAATTTTTTTATTTAATGGAAAATTTCTGCCTAAAATATCTGGGTAACAAAAGTAAAGAAAAAGTCAGAATATGACATCGTAAATAGCTATTTAAATATTTGTCAATACAGTTACTACATAGGTTCAGGAACTGAACAGAAATCTGTTCACAGTGCTGATTGTTATCACCAAGGTCTTTGGAAATAACAGGAAGTTTCTGCCTCAAAGCCTGTTCCCTCTAAGACACCCAAAGAAAAATCATCCTGTCACCCCCTGCCAGCTCAGTTCAAGGTTGTGCCAGGAACCTCTTTTCGCACGCAAAAGTACCATAAACACAGGCAGCTTATCTGGTCTCCAGCTGCTGTCCAGCTTCAGGCTCTTTTGGAGTCTGAGCCCCCAGGCCTCTCCTCACACACCTGGAGGGGGTCGCTGGCCACCACTGACCCACCCCACCCCCACATTGGAAGGGGAAAGAACCAACAGCATTTTTGCTTCCCTGTGCATTCCATTTCAAAAGTCCTCTCCTGAAAAGTCAGTGGGAGTGTCCAGCCTTCCCACCAATGAGGGCCAGTGTCAGCTCTATTCGCCTCTCTTCTAGCCCCATGTTCAGCCAGGGGCCATCACACATGCACAGTTCAAACCCCCCATTTCCAGGGGTATGTCCCCCTTTTATATGAGCATCCTCAGAGCGCTCAACCCTATTATCACAGTAGAACTGGTCCCCAGTCAACTGGCCACTCCCAAGGAATTCTCCAAAGCTCCAGCATGTTGACTCAAGAGACAGGGTTCCTTACCCAGTGTGAGACTTCTGAAGTCTCAACAGTAATTCCCACAGTGGCCCCATGTCATTAGTGTGAACAGCCAGAGCAGGATTCCTCCACAGAATTCACATTTTAAGGCTTGATCAGGGCTCTCCGGGGAGGAGCAATGGAACCCTAGCATGGAACAAACGACTTGGAATGCTGAAACACCCAGCCACGGTGGAGATCCACACAAGCCCTCAGAAGTTGAATTTCTCAACAGACCAGCTTGGAAAAATTAATTTTGTATAACAAAAATAAATTCAAAACCAAACACAAGCACCATAAAATAAATCAATGGCAAGTACCATATGATTTCACTTACATGTGGAATCTAATGAGCCAAATTCACAAACAAAATAGAAACAGACTCGGAGATAGAGAAAACAGTGAGAACTGTCATAGGAGAGGGGGGCTATGGGGCTGGGTGAAAAGGGATTATGCAAAAAAACCAAGAAATAAAAAAACCCCTCAGACACAGTCAACAGTGTGGTGATTACCAGAGGGAAAGGGGGTGGGGGGGACAGAAGAGGGTAAAGAGGGTTGATAAATGGTGACAGAAGAAGACAACTTGGGATGGTGAACATACAATACATTATATGTGCAATAGAACTGCACCTGATGACGTGCAATAGAATTGTGCACCTGAAACCTATATAATTGTATTAACCAATGTCACCCCAGTAGATTCAATGCAAAACCAATGAAATAAAAAGAGAAAAACAAAAATCAATTCTATTCTCTGCTAATTTTCTCTGACCTACCCCATAATCAGCTTCAAATTTCATATAAAAATGATGCTTTGTTTCTAATTTTAACACCATTTCCTCCACTCTGTGTACAGGTTTTAGTAAGCAACAAATTTAAACATGATACACTTTATATGCCTCATTAAAAACATCATTATGTAAACAGGACCTACATACAAAAGCACAGTGCAAACAAGTTGGCCAAATTCAGATTTTCGCTAAGAATGTTTTCTTCTTCGACACCCTTCATAGTCACACTTTTGTAAGAGTGGCGAATCTATAGATGCAATGCAATTCCTATGAAGAGAGACTAATGACATTATTTCACAAAATTAGAACAAATATTTCAAAATTTATATGGAACCACAAAAGGCCCCACATAGCAACAGTGATCCTGAGAAAGAAGAACAAAGTGGGAGGAATTATGCTACCTAATATCAAACCATACTATAAGGCTATAGTAATTAAAACATCATGGTACTAGCATAAAAACAGACACACAAATCAATGGAATAGAATAGAGGGTCAGAAGTAAACCACACATTTATAGTCAATTAGTATTCAACAGAGGAAGTGAGCACATACAATGGCCTAAAGATAGTTTATTCAATAAATGATGTGTGGAGAATTGGACAGATGGGTGCAGAATAATGAAACTAGACCACCTTCTTACACCACACACAAGATGAAATTCAAAATGAATCAAAGGCTTAAATGTTAGACCCCAAACTATGAAAATCCTAAAGTAAGCATAGGCTGCAAAACTTCAGACATTGCTCATAGTGATTTTTTTATCTGATATATTTCCCCAGGCAAGGAAAACAAAAGAAAAAAAATTAACAAATGGGACAACATCAATTAATACGTTTTTGCACAGCAAAGGAAATCATCAACAAAATAAAAAGACAACCCACAGAATGGGAGAACACATTTGCCAATACATCTGGTAAAGTGTTAATATCCAAAATTTATGAAGAACTTACAAAACTCAACACCAAAAAACCCCAATCCAATTAAAAAACAGCCAAAGGACTGAAACAGACAGTTCTCCAAAGAGGACATACTGATGGACAATAGACATATGAAAAGATGCTCAACATCACTAATTATCAAAGGAATGCTAATTAAAACCACAATGCGGTATCATCTCACACCTGTCAGAATGGCAATCACCTATAAATCAAAAAACAAATGCTAGTGAGGATGTGGAGAAAGGGGAACTCTTTTTCACTGATGGTGGGAATGCAGGTTGGTGCAGCCACTGTGGAAAGCAGTATGGAGTTCCCTCAAAAAATTAAAAATGGATCTGCCTTTTGACCCTGTGATCCCACTTCTGGGAATATAGCAGAAGGAACCCAAATCACTAATTCAAAAGAACATAAGCACTCCTATGTTCAATGTAGGGTTATTTACAATTATCAAGATTGGGAAACAGCCCATGTCCATCAATAGATGAGTGGGTAAAACGAAGATGAGTAACACAGTGTAATACTACTTGTCCATAAAAAAGAAAATTTACCCTTGAAGATAGCATGATTGGGCCTGGAGAATATTATGATAAGTGAAATAAGCCAGTCAGAGAAAAACAAATATCACATGATTTCCCTTATACTTGGAATCTAATGAACAAACTGAACTAACAAGCAAAACGCAGACTCATAGAGAGCAGGATGCCAGCTATTGGGAGGGAGGGAGGGCAGGTCAGGGGGTGGAGGGATCGAGGAAAAAGGACTTACTGCCAAGAACGAGAGTGGTCATTTGCAGGGGGAGGGGGGTATAAGGGTGTTAAATGGTAATGCAAAAAATATAATTAAAAAGAAGAAGAAAAAGAGCTGCAAAGCCTCACCCACTGAGTTTGGTGGGACGCTCCAGGGAGGACCCCGAGTACCCAGGCGGGTTGGTTGACAACAGTCACAGTCGTTCGAAAGGAGCGCGGTTCTCCGAGGGATCAGGTTTGCGCTTGGAACCCGCGTCCCAAAGGCTCCCCCTGTTTCCACTTGGGCCCCCATTTCCACCCTTGCTGCCCCCGGCTTCCTCCCCGCCTCTAGATCTGCATGTACCCCCTCCACAGCTCCCAAAGCACCTACACGGTCCCATACCTGAGCGTCCTCGTCCTCCGTCACCACCCCAACTACCGGGATCCGTCGAGGGCTGCCGGACTTGCCCCTGCCGCCGGGTCCCTGGGGCTCGGTGGTCGCCGGAGCCTCCGAAGAAGACATGGTTGAGGCGGCGGATTCTGGGACTGGAGGGGTCTTCTATCCTACACCGTGCCCACAGCTGCGGGATCCAAAGAGGCTCAGCCCCCGAAAAGGGAAGCCCACCTGAGCGCCGCCAGAGTCAACAAAGTCCCTGGGGCTAGGCAACCCGCTCCGCAACTCCGCACTGCACCCACAAATCTCAGTTCCAGCAAGCCGGCCGGTTGTTAACACAAGCCAGTGAGTTGCTAAGGGCGGGGCCAGAGGCGGTGTGGCGCCGGCTCCTACGGAAGCCCAGGGAGCCAAACTACTTCCCAAACCCTATTCTGCGCTTCTGCGGTCGGATCGGCTGGGTTGGTTTCCGTGCTAGACCTCAGCATGTAGCCCAGGAGTGTTACTTAGGCGCCGTGTGTCTCTCAGTGTTGGTCGTTTGCGCTGGGCCTTCTTGAAAGGGGAGAGAGTGGGTGGAGCGGTGAAGTGTGGATGGGGGTGTGTAAGTGATGGGTGATGGCTGGAGAGTGTTGGAAGTTGGAGAGTGTTGGAAGTTGGAAGTGGAGTTTATCTCACCCCAGAGAAGTGATCGGTGCCATCCATATTTCCCAGTCTACCACCTTTTCTTGAGTGGCCCTACGAGGCAGCTAATAAGGCATTTTTCGCAACGTTAGAGGACTTCTGAGTCATTGACTCTAAATCATTTACTCTAAAACAAATTAACAACCCCTGGGATCCTCACTTTTCTGATGTCACATAGGATAGCTATGTGACATGAGATAGCTGTGAGGGCACAGAATGGTAGATGATGGTTTTGTCAAGTATTGGCACATAATAAGCACCAAATAAATGGTCAAGATTATTATTGTGACTGTTATCTCTTCATTGTTTCCTCAGTAATGGTCCAAGAATGTTGAAAACTTTTAATGGACAGCTTCTCATGAAATCATCAGTATAACTTAATCACTCTAAACACCTTGGCCATGAAAGCCAATATAAGAATCCTTTAAACCTTTTAATTTTTTAAACCTCCAGAAAATCTTCAAAACTTAAATGTGAGTTTTAATATAATTCATAGAGTAAAAAGTTACACAGAAACTCCATTAAAAGTAAATTTCATTTCACTTCTCAGGGTTTCTCTCCTCATTTGCAGAATGAGTAAGTTCATCAGTGATCTCTAAGGTTTCTTAACCAGTTTAAATACTGAATGACATTTTTCGGCCCCCAAATAAAAAGACATGGAAAAACTAGATTGGGCATGGCAGTACTTAAATGATAGCCAAAATAACCCAAGCTTCTTTGAAAGAGTACTGTGCATTTCCAGTCTCTATTTCCTCACCTCAATGCTTTTTTTAACTTCCCCATCCTCACTCCTCTGAAACGGATCCGATGTCAAAGTCTGTAGACACTTTCCTGACTTCATCTTGCTGTACTGATCTGTAGTATATGACCACTCTTCCCTGTTTTAAACACCCTTGCCTGGGCTTCAGCGCTGTTTTTTTTTTTTCTTTTCTTTTATCTTTACCATTACCTATTGGTACTTTTAGAGCACCTCATAGGGATTACACCTTGAATTGGGTTCAATAGATCCAAGTTTGCTATCACCCAGGGAGAGTGCAATGGGTTTCTCAAGTGTATTAACGTGACCTGAATTGATATTGCACGTTCCGAGTACATCACATCAAAAGCAGACAAGCCACTTGGATAAACGCAATGTAATTTTTTGAGAATGGCACCTAAAAGCAAAATAGTGGTGAATGGACAAGTGGAAGACTTGCTTATCCTGTGTGCACTCATCCTGGAATCTCAGTATGAAAGATGAACAGGAAGGACTGCAAAAAATTTTTTTCCACTTAAAGCAGAGCTTGCCTAAGAGATGTCAACTGCTTGTAATTCAGCACAACAGGCCGAAAACTGTTAGGGTTCCACACACCCCCATGGCTCTGAAAAGTCAGACCCTTCTCCTTGGACTTAACCAAAGACACTTTCCCAACAAATGAACAACAGGATTTTTATTTTATTTTAACCAATTGTGTACAGAGACCTATATATTCATTTTGTTCTATATCCAGAGTACCAGTTTGCAATGCTTAATTAGCATAACTCTCATGAATGCCCCCTTTCTAGCACTTAAAACCCTTGATTTGTTGTTCAAGTTAGGAGTAGATTTAAGTTTAATCATTATTCACTGATCCCTTTGTAAGTTAAGAGTACAAGACCCATTTTTGTGACACTAAAAGAAATGTAAGGGGAAAACGGCTATTAAAGTGGCAAACTATTTCAGAACAAAGTTAAATTAACAGTAGAGAAACATACCAGAAGTGACAGAGAGAATGTTTCAATCTGATAACAATTCTGCAGATTTAATATCTGTTAAATTACAAATTACAATTTTTAAAACAAGCAGCTATAAATAGTAATGTTGACCTACACATAATTTTTAATGTTTTGAACATAAGTAAATGTACACTATTGTTCAGATTTTTCCCTGATACTTCTTTGCATATTGCTTAATTAGTACTGTTTGGTAAAATTAAAATTATTCATTAGCATGAGTTAAAGATTTCTAATAAGGATTTTAGATTACATATTAATTTGGTAGTCTCTAAATTCATGCCAGATATTCTAAGTGTTCAAATAAACATTCCTTTCTGAGTCAGGAAGTTTATTTTAAACAGAATTTTTATAGCACAAATTAAATTAGAATTTAGTTTTAGCAGGTTAGCTTTGAGAAATTATGTAACAGGAGAAAAATATAAATATAAAAAAATATATATATAATGCTGGAATTCAATCTACTTTAGTGTTTTAAAAGTATGTTCAGGTTGTGACAGAAACAAAGCCTTAAAAAAGAAACAAAACTAATTACCTCTTTCCAACAGAATCATTAATGTAAATTTCAGAGTAATAAACACATGCAACAGAAAATAAAAGAACGGCCACCCCTGAAGTCAACCATTCTAATGAAAAGTGTACTGATAATCCAAATTGGGAGTGATTTTTAAATAGGAAGCTGGAGGAGCTCTTCATGTTTGGTGGAGAGACTAAATAAATGGTAGTAAATAAAATGAATTTATGAAGTGATTTCTACCTGATTGAAGCTTCAGTTCCACGATATAGGAATATTTCTGTGAAATGAAAATGTTCTCAAGCTTTTAGAACTAAAAACTATTTACAGTGTTCACATGGTGGAAAATTATTGTGAAATATGCCCGGATGTTAACTGTCTTAATGTGGAGCAGGACTAATCAGATGTTTTATTCCAATAACATTAATGATTCAAGCTCTATCACTTGACTTATTCTGATTCTGGATTAGTCTTCTAGGGCTGCTGGAACAAATACCACAAACTTGATGGCTTACACAAGATAATTTATTTCCTTACACCCTGGAGGCTAGAGGTCCAAGGTCAAGGTGTCCAAGATTGGTTTCCTTCGGAAGTCTCTCTCCTTGGCTTGCAGATGGCTCCCTTTGCCTTTGTCATCACGCAGTCTTCCCTCTCTTACTCTCCTCTTATAAAGATGCCAGTCATATTGGATTAGGGCCCACTGATATACCCTCACTTTACTTTAATTTCGTCTTTAAAGGTCTTAGCTCCAAGTATAGTCTTTCTAAGGTACTAGGGTTTAAGACTTCAACATATAAATTTTAGGGGGATACAATTCAGCCCATAACTAATTCCAACGTCCTTTGGGTTATAATTTGAATTCTTACAGATTCAGTAATCAAATATGCTATTTAAGGCAATATTAGTATTCTTGCCTATAGGACATAGATATTTCTCACAGTAGTGACAAATTACTCTTCTGATTTAACAATTTATCACTGTAAAATTGATTAACCTTCTGATTAATCAATTTATCACTTGATTAATGAAAATCTGTCCCTAGCAGATGTATTGGGTTGGTCAAAAAGTCCATCTAGCTTTCTCTGTGAAATAAAAGACTCATTTTTCATTTTCAATAATGAAAATAAAAATAACTTCATTGATTACAATGAAGTTACAATAACTTCATTGATTTGGGTATTTTGAGTATGTCAGCTATCTTCTGGGTGGTATAACATTGAACATTCTCAATTAATGTCAATCTGATCACTATCAATTTCAACGGGTCTACCTGACTGGGGAGCATCGTCCAGAGAGAAGTCTCTAGCATAAAACTTCAAACCACTTCTGACACAGTCAATCAGTCACAGCACCTCTTCCATACACTGCACAAATCTTTTTCTTGCATTTCAGTTGCATTTTTACCTTTCTTGAAATAATAAAGCATAATATACCAAAATGTTGCTTATTTTCTTCCACCTTCAATATTAAAATGGCTACACAGAAATTCACCGATTTTGATCTTTCTTGTTAAATGCATGCTGATGACAGACAGCTGTCACAATCTAACGAAAATTGTTTTGAATGAAGTTAAAAACAACTAAGTGCTACTAGAACATCTTATGGAAAAAACCAAACGGACTTTTTGACTGACCCAATATTCCCTTCCAGGGCTCCCAACCAATCTGAATTTGGAGCCTGCTATATCGCGCCATCACTTATTTCATGTTTCATTTTCCATTTGAAGAATCCACTACTGTGCTAGCTAGGTTCCCTAGAGCCTTCCATAAACAACAACAAACATCCAACTTCTGCCATTTTATTAGGGGGCACTATTTCTGGGATGCAGAAGTTAGGAAAAGATGGAGGTGAGGCAGGCAGTGGAGAAGGGAGCAGAAACATGGGTGTTACTGAGCTGGGCACAGCTTTGGAATAAGTGCAGCTAATTCCTCAGTCTTCTAGGGTACTCTCATGGAGGTCCACATAGACTATTGCACTTTGGAACAGCCCATCTAGGGGAAAGCAAGGGAGAAGAATTTATCCACCAGCTCCCTCTTGTGCTGCATCTCTTTGGTCAAGCTCACCTCTCAAGCAGGATTGCCAAATTCAACAAATAAATAATAAACAATAAATATTCCCATGCAATATTACTTAACAGAATTACACTAGAAAGTTATTCACTGATTTTCTGCAATTCAAATTTAACTAAGTGTCCAGGCAGCTCTATTCTCAGGACATTAAAACCCACACGTTGCCAGGCAGCTTCAGGGGAAGTGGAGCCCCCGCAGACATGGCATAGGCACCAAGGTTGGTTTCTCCTCCTCAGTTACAGCAGTGTGGCCATGGTAGTGGTGGTGGCAGTGAAGCAGTAGCAGTGACTCCACTCTGACACCACAGGGCAGCTCCAGGCCACCAGCCAGGGGGCAAGGTGAGGAGTGGGCAGGAGGGTTGCAGGCCTGGCTGCATGGATGTGGGGTGATAAATAACAACATCTTCTGTAAAGATGAATCAGTACTCATTATACCATCTTCTTAGTATCTTGTAGGGCTGTGTTGCACTAGTTGATGGAAATATATTAGTAAATGAGGCAGGCAGAGTTCCTGCTGTCAGGGAACCTATAAAATACAGCCTGAATACTGCATTGAGTAGTGGTTAAAAAAACATAATGAATGCTAGTGAAAAGAAATAATTTTAAGAACAGCAACTCATTAGATGGATGTTTGCCTAAATGACTACTTTGGCAAAAACTTCTTACGAAACCTTAAAGTCTCTGAAACTATTACATGTATTTCCTTTTGGATGCTTCTAAAAAGATATAGAAAAGTATTACATGGCCTCCATTAAATATTGTAATTATTATTTAGTAAGAAAGAAAAATTTGTTTGTATACATTTCAAAGAAGTTAAAACACATTAAACAGTACTTTTTATTTATAAGGCAGATCTATGAGAATGATATAAAACATGGCATGTAATGTGATAGCAATATTTGGCGATTACAGAGTTTTAGCAAATATCTATTACACAGTTACAAAGAAGACGATCTTCTAAGCATATACAAAATGTCTAATCACAGATCAAAGCAAGAAGAAGAGTACATTTACAATGGAAAAATCAATCCTAATGTGAACTGCACATTATTGTGTTCTAGTTTATTCAAACAGTGTATATGGTATCATGACAAAAAACTGAAGCCAGAATGGATTTTGACCTCATGTAAAGAAACCCAAATTTACAATGGCTTAACACTAGGAAAAGCCGGTCTGAGGAGTGAAGTAGTCAAGACCTTTTTAGTCGCTAACATCTTTTCCTTAGGGCGTGGTCTTGGTTTTCTCGGAAAAGCCAAGGCTCCTGCAATTCTGGCAGCAAGATGGAGGAATGAGATAAAGAACACACGCCTTTCTTGGAAGAGACTTCCACTCCAGGAAGTCATTCATCCACTCCCCTACCTCTCACTGTTGAACCACAGACACTACATCACGTGGGAATGCCTAACTGCAAGGGCAGCTGATGAATCTGATGGAAAGCAGTTTTTAAAGAAGTAAGGTAACTAAACACTAGGAGACAACTTCCAGTCCCTGTTCGGGTTGGATATCTGATAGACTACGTAAAACCTTTTTAAAAAATCTTAAGAGAATATGTCCTAGAAGTTGGCATTTTGGAAATCACACAAAGGCACCTGCTTTGGTGATTTAACTTAGCTCATCTAGTCACTGGGAGTATCCATACCGTCTGCCCTAATTTTCAATGATGGCGTGATGGAAATCCCACAGTTCTGAAAACTAACAATCTCAGTATGCACATGAGCTAGGCTGAACTAAACATTTTGGTTTTCTGCTATCATGTGGGCAGAATATTAGCACTTCATAATTTTTCACATTAAAAAAATTGAAGAACCTTTCCATTCCTGTAAAATTCACTATTCAAAGGTAAGAAAGGATTGTGTTTCCACTAAAAGTACTGAGTGTCATTTAAAGCAATTACATATATTGAATATATACCAGAATTTGTTTTACTGGCTTGCTGACTTATAATCAGTCAAAGGTGGAGTATCTCCTTTTCTTGATGACACATCACAAACATTAATCGTTAACACTGGACAACGGATGTTATACTGCGTGTAGTGCTGCTTTAAGTCATGAATTTACAAAATAATTTCGACATGACATTTTAAGCGGTTTAATACTTAACTGCAAAACAGATTTTGTAGGCTGACACAGCTTCAGTGTTTATGGTACTCCTAAAGAAATACTTATGAATTACATTTATGGTACTTTATTTAAAATATCACATAAGAAACCTTAAGTTTCACAAATAAAACTCTTTTGGGGGGGGGAACGCTTTGTGCGGAATTTATTATGAAACAGCTTAATGGCAAAAGGTAATTAAAAAGAATTAAGGTTTCATCATATTATATAGGAGATAAACAATACAAAAATGGGTATGATATATTCTTGAAGCCCTTTTACACAAATTATTTTCATAATTTGACTGTATGAATATACCTTATGTTACTAGTATCAAATTAATTGAGAAAGCAAAACTCCTTAGTCAGGTTCATGCCAATTTATAAGAAAATAACCGAGTGGCCCTACCCTGGGCTCATCTGCCGGCCCACAGGCAGCACAGAAGAATCGTCTCTAATAAATGCCTATAAATAGAATTTAGTTGTTGTTTAGAATATTTTAAAATTTAAATAAAAATCTCTACAGGTAGGCAAGCTCAGCTAAATATCCATATATGTTTTGAAAAATATATGCTAGCATGAATATATTCATATTTAAACATGATTTTAAAAATTATTAATAGAGGAAACATAAGACATTTGCACAATAAAAGCAAAGTAGCATGATTCAGTCCAGGATTATTTTCTTTTTAGGAAAAAATTACTAGATATTTTTTTTTTGCATAGGTTAATACTGGATATATTTTCTACATTCTTATCATTTTCACAGGGGCACTTCTCGAAATACAAATTAGAAAACAAATCCCTGATACTTCAAAGTACCCAACACTTTCTCACATCCGAAAAGAAAAGAATTCAGTCCTACTTCTGAGGCCAGAGTAATGACTTTTTAAAAAAATAATTATACTGATGAAGAAAAATAATCACGTAGGAAATAGTAAAATAAGGTTATTAAAAGTCAATTAAATAAAGCAATTAAGTCAATATTTTTGCATTTTAGAAAAGCTTTTAAATATCTAGAATTATAATGAATATATTACATTTATTCTAAAACTTCTAAATTAATTTCATCTCTGTAAAAGAGGAAAGGAAATAGCATTTGAAACAAGTCACATCTTATATACATTTTCATAAACTGTTTTTTTTCATATTTTTAAAGACCCCACATATCTCTCATACTTATTTATATTTCTATTATTGGCCACTTAATATATATGTGCAACAATATACTTCAATAATCATCTAACTTTTAAAAGTATTTCACTGCCTTTTCACATAAAATGGTGAACATCATCTTAAGACAGTAAAACTTAAGGAAGAAGAAAGTATTGAAAATATGATGTTAATTTCACTAGTTTATAATAGTTTGTAGGTGTTTACCTTTAAAGTTATTTTCCAACTGAATTCCTACTAAGAGCTAACAAGTAAGTGATTATCAAGAGGGGAGGACTACAGCTAAAGAAAACAGAGCTCAGCTGAAAAGTAAAAGCTATTTGAAAACTCACCAAGAGCATCAGAGAACCATGAGTGATTTACAAACTGCCATCACGTGCAGTAGGGAGCGAGCCACTGGCGGACAAGGCAGCCTCCGCGAGGTACAATTCCTTTTATTTTTGGCAGCTGGAGTCAGTAGTACTTCAGAGGGTAAGTTTAGAAATGTTATAATTTCGAAGGAATGTATATAATATTACCTTGTCTGCAATTTTTAAATAGGAAAAAGCTCAGGAGAAGAGAATGTAGGGCATTCCAACCAAAATTTGAATGAAATGCAGTTTTAATGTGGAATGTCAGCACTGAAAAATTTATGAATAATTTGTGTGATTATATGTCTCTAGAGTAGATTTATAATTAACTTATCCTAACATCCTTCATGCTTGTGAACTGCTTCCGAATGAATGGCTGAGCACACAGGAGGGCTTCTCAAGAGAGAAAAGGAGATGACCAACCTACTGGGACTGTTTAAGCTTCGGAAGGACCACTTATTAAAACTGCCATGGTCCTATCATCTCTGTTGGAGTCTCTTACCGCAGTGAGAGGCACATGGACTGCCATGGGTCTCCAGGGTCACGTCCCAGCCAAGATCCTCCCCACAGGTAAGTAACTGTGGATTACTCCACAATTTAACAACCACACTCACTCTCCAGGATGTCAATACCTTTATACAAAAGAGGAAGCACATAGACCGGCACTGTGAACGTACTGCATGGGGGTGAAGCAGGAGACTGCAGCCTAGTGGTTAAAATCACAGCCTCTGGAAAATTACTGCCTGGCCTTGAATGCTAGCTCTGCCCTAACTCTGTGACCTTGGGCAAACTGCTTAACTTTCTATCTTTCAGTTTCTCCTTTGTAAAAGGATAATAACTACCTCTGTCATGGGATTATTTTAAGTATTAAGTGGGATAATACAACTAAAGTGCTCAGAACAGTTTGTGGCACGTTATAACCCCTCAATGAACTTCTGTAAAATCTCGCACAGCAGAGAGCGATGGCTGGCTAAACTGCAACGACATATGCCAGCTGGCAAACAACTACCAGTGTGGAAACCTAACACTTTCCTTCTAAGGAGGAACAAGGAGAAGATTTCCAGGACTGGTACTATAAGAAAAGTCAGTTTGGGAGGCCAAGTATTATGGTCTTCTCCCTGACAACATACTGATATTCAAATGGGACAGCTTTGTAACAAGATAAAGAGGAAAATCTTTCATGAGGTACACATTAGCAGTGTATCTTTCCTGTCTCCAATGCATTTTAAATATTATTTCAGGTACAGTGTGTCTTCTCACTTTGTGGTTGTTCACATAACCACACGGATTCACAAAATTAATGACAGTTTTCAAATCCTGTCTTATGAGACAGGTACAGGAATATTGCCATGCACCCTTACCTAGACGCTAATGTAATGTGTCCTTTCTTACAAATATATGATTATGCATTTCTAGTTCTTACACTGGATAATCATTAAAACCTTACTTGAGCTTCAGAAAAAAAAAACTTATGTATTGAATTGTATTACAACTTAAATTCTGCTGGTTTGCAAGGTGTTTTTAGCATTATATTGTATCTATATCATTAACTATAAATATTTTTGCCTGACTGTGGAATACACTTTGTTAAATAACAATGTCAGAGTTGTGCAAAACGAAACAAAAAAACACCATACCTAAACTTCAACAATAAGTTAACTACAAAAATTCACATTTTCACACATGACATTTGTGAAAATTAATCTGAAGAAGATTCTACCACTATTTGGCTGAGATCACACCGAACAAGTTTCAGCCCACAGCAATTTGACTGCGCTGGCAACTGAACACAGAGAAAGTCGTAGAAATAATGGCATGAGTAAGAGCTCTTGATGGCATCCGCGAGTACCATTACCCTCACATTACCGTGACCCTCTCCGGCGAGAGGTGAGGAACTGCTCCTCCAATACCTTCTTCTCGAAACTGGCTCTTTTCCCAGCCCTTTTTAATTCTCCTTAGCTTTTGGCTTATGCATGGAAGAAGTAAAATGCTCTTTCCCAGAATTACAATTGAAGGCAGAACAAGAGCAAGAACGAAGTTTGGTGGTGTGTAAAACCTGTAGTACTCTTCTTCGAAAGCTCGTTTCCATCCGTAAATTAAAACGTGGAAAGTGCTTATGAGTAGAGCGACATAACCAAGTGTGGACTTCGGGTAAGGAGGAAGAAAAAAAAGCACAGAATAAGAAACAAATTATTCAAACTCATAAATGAACCTCTCCAGCTCTACATTGTTTATATTTTGACAAACCTATTTTATCTGAAGTTGTTGAGCTACTTTTTGTTCTCTGCTACATCAAACGATGTAAACATTTTCATATATATTTATACGCACCCTTTATTTTACACAAACAAGGCCATACTGCATATAGTTTAATATTCTAATTATTTCATTTATTAGGTAAAGAGCTTTCCTCATGTCATTAAGTATGAAAACATGACTCTAATGCTGTATTATACGTCACTGAACAGTTATGCTATCTACACTTTATATAGCCATTCCTTGTGTTGAACATTTACTCTGTGTCCATCTTTCCTCAACTATAAATAATGTCACTTTAAGCCCTTTCTTTATTTTGGTTTATTTCCTTAGAACTGATTTCTTACGGTGGGATTGCTGGTCAAAACATCTGGTTGTGCCTTAAGGGTGTTGATAAAAACTGCTAAACTTCTTTATAAAGGTTATCCACATCTCTGCCAATTGTGTGCATCAGAAAAAAATGAGTGTGTTTGCACATGTATGCTTACATACGTATACATACATATAGTTAAATGCTGAAGAGCATTCTCATGGGGGCATGCACACGTTCACATGTACAAACTAACTGAAAGTAAATATGAAAAATCTTATATATTAATATGTAATATAAATAGCATTTCAAATATGTGGCTTAACTGACCTTACTAAATGAGATTATTAACAGCACTTCAGTTAAGCAGTTTACAGGTTAAAATCTAAAAGGTCAGCAGCATCCCTGGTTCCCTAGATTATGATGTTCAGTTGCTTACTTTGAAAAATACTGTGTTACATAAATGTAGTATTATAACTGTAGACTGATGTAACATCTAACTTCAATGGGAAAGGGTCAAAACTCTAGCAGAAAATTGTTCTGTTTGCCAAAAATCACTCATCTAAATTTGTAATGATAATTTATAACCATCTAGCACCCTTCATCAGAGGGTCTTCTATTTCTTTTCAGTGTGATTAAGCTAGCAGTTAGGAAAAAGACTTTCAGATAACTTTAAAACAAAAATAATAGTAATAAAAAAAACAAAAAAGCTCAAGCAAATAGGCAAAACCCCCTAAATTCAGTGTATCACCAATGAGAGTCATCTGCCTGATGGTGCCATAAACCACTTGGGTACAGCCAATACTGATTCTGTGATGATACAGATAGGGTCTATGTTTGAGGTATGTATTTTTAAATATGCAAATGTATTAAATAACAATAAATGGAGGTGAACATTAAACTTATTAGAGTGGTGTTTTGAAACCCCTTTGGAGACACTATATATATATAACTTATATAAGAAATACACACTAACAGGTTCATAAGGCTGGTTCCTTGTCATAACCTATTAACCTAGGTACCTGGTTGGTCAGTGCTCATGTTTGTATATGCACATACACATTTCTTTGAAAATATCTGACTGACCTTCTTTCCACATTAATTCAGATTAATGTGATTTTTCTGGACAAATCAAGATGATTCAAAATGTAAAATAATTCTTCATTCATGTGGCTAATAATACATTGACTTTTGGCATTAAACTTGTCTTAGGCTCACACATCCCCACCTTCATTATTTTTCCGTAATAAAATACGCTTTATCTACAGCATAGCAGGCAATGCTATCAAAGCCTTCTAGTCAGTTCCTGTACTGGTCTTCCACTTACTAAACCTGAACGGTCCTAAGCTAGCCTCCCACACAGGTGTTCCCCAAGCTTCCATGCATACACGCAGCCCCCAAAGACACTTTTCTTAGAAGAGGCATATCTAAAATTCAAACAGTTGTAACACAAACTCTATGCAGCCCATTCCTTCACCAAACAAAACCCCGCATACCTGAATGAAACTGAACTCCCTCCAGTTTAGAGCATTGCTCACCGAAGGGATGGAGGTGACAGCCAGGAGGGAGAGCAAGCCCAGGCTCATTATGCCAAAGGAGATGTACATTTCAATTCTCCAAACTTCTTCTTCATTCCAAGAGTTTTCGATATTTGCACGAACCTAACAAGACAGCAAACGTTAATTTCCCTTATTTGGTAGAACACTGACTGGTTCAGCACAGAGTTCACTCTTGGTATAAGAAAACATCACCCATGGACATATTTAAGTTGTCCATGGGTGTAATAATCTAACAAACTGTTATGGAGAAGCTGTTACTGGATGGTGTGGTACCCCAGGTGGGAGAAAGAGAACGGAGCGTTAAACAGAAAGAGGACTAAGATTCTTTCCTTCTTTGTACACTTGTGAGGAGAGTGGGTAAACCTGCAATCACATGTGTTTGTTTGTTTTTTCAACCCTCACCTGAGGATATGCTCATTGATTTTACAGAGGCGAAGGGAGAGAAACACTGATCACTGCCCCCATACATGCCCCAGCTGGGGACTGAACCCTTAACCTACGTATGTGCTGTGCCCGAGAATCAAGCCTGTAACTTTTGCTGTATGGGGCGCTACAACTGAGCAACCACCCAGGACATGCCATCACATTTGTGATGCATCATGGTGCCAGAGACACTGGTATCCCAAGACCAGGAGATGCTGAGGGTGACCCAGAAGAAATATTGGCAGTTAGACTTACTGTTGAGGTACTTTTATAAGTTGGTTTATAGTTGATAGAATATTTTGGGTACATTCTGGACTTAGTTCAAATTAGAATCCAGAAAGGGAATTTCTAAACTACTTCTGTATGTCCCTTTCTCACATCAAGAGTATTTATATGTTTATTTATCTTTCTTCTTAATTTCTTTTCTAACAGGAAAGATTTTCTGTTAGAAAATTTCTTCTCTAACAGGTGAGATTTTCTTGGGAATAAAACCCTACCAAATGCAAGTATTTGTCCACTTGAATTGTCTCATTATTAAATAAACTTTTCCAATTGATGCCTCATTCTTTTTTTTAAATTTAATTAATTTATTTTTAGAGAGAGGGGAAGGGAAGGAGAAAGAGAGGGAGAGAAACATCAATGTGTGGTTGCCTCTCATGCGTCCCCTGCCGGGAACTGGCCTGCAACCCAGGCATGTGCCCTGACTGGGAATTGAACTGGTGACCCTTTGGTTCACAGACTGGCACTCAATCCATTGAGCCACACCAGCCAGGGCAATTGCCTCATTCTTTTTTTTTAAATCATTAAAAAAAAATTTTTAATTGTGGTTCAAGTATAGTTTTCTGTCTTTTACTACCATCCCAGCCCGCCATTCTTATACAGTACTTTTCCAAATGTCTTTCCCTTACATTAATAATGCATATATAATTAAGTCAGACTTAATGAACTCTGAATGTGGGGTATTCTGCATAGGACTACTTTTAGAATAGTCTATTTACACACAAACAATATCAGAGTATAAATCAAGGGTTAGACTCCTTGGGCTAAAGCTTTGATCTAGGTATCTATTCATGGAAAACAGATTCTAATTTAACAACAGCTTAACATTGTCCAGTTCCAGTTAATCAAACATACTTGAAAATAAAACCAAGAAGAGCTTAGCCATTTGGTCCTGAGAATTCCTCTGTAGGAAAAAAGCTCTTCCTATCTCCTTTGACATCTGTACAATACAGAACAGCAGCATACCTTGGTAGAACTAAAGGTTACAACCTGGATCCACCTGCCCTCCCAGGTCATTCCTCTGATCCATAAACAAGCTTTCAGAATGTCTACTATGTGCCAGGCACAGTTCTAGGGATTAGGCATATATCATAGAACAAAATGGGCAAAGATCCCTGCTCTCATGAACTTACTGAGGAAAGAGTGAAGATAGAAGTATATAAAAAGGAGTAATTTTGCCCTGGCTGGTGTAGCTCAGTGGATTGAGCGCGGGCCTGCGAACCAGATAATTGAGGTTCGATTCCCAGTCAGGGCACATGCCTGGGTTGCAGGCCAGTTCCCAGCAGGGGACCCACGAAAGGGAAACATAACGCACGAAAGGCAAACATACATTGATGTTTCTCTCCCTCTCTCCTTCCCTTCCCCTCTAAAGATAAATAAATAAAAATTTTTTAAAAAGATAAATAAAATCTTTAAAAAAAGGAGTAATTTTAATCAAGTTGCTAACATTATTAATATTATGAAGGTTGAAGCCTGCAGAAAGACTCCATTCTTGTTCTAACTAGCCTGGGAACTTAAACTTTCTTACTTTCCAGTGTTGCATTAATACCTGGATACCCATCTGGACCTCCAGGTAACCCTCTAATTATCCCCAGAAGGACTCACTCATTTGGGCCACCTGATTACCCCTGAAGGACTCCTGGATGTATCCTCCTGATGCCCGTTATTCAGACAACAGGGACCTGACCGGACCTCCTGTGTCCACCTTCTAGACCACCTGACATCTGTCATGCCGACTGCTGATCTCGGACTGGTAACCGTCCTGAACCAGTCCTAGGGCTAAGAACGCAGGATTGATAATGCTCAAGAACACACTTTCTACCATAAGAGCTTTGAACTTTTCTTTTCCTCTTTGGGTTTTTGCTTAGTTGTGTTCCCAGTTTGCAAACTCCAAGACCCTTGAGAATAAATCTCTGTCACTTCTAGCAGAGCCTCCAGACTCAATTCGTTCAGCATTACATTCTGGTGACAGAGGGCAGACATCAGGAAAGGAAAACACACAAGGTGTTAAAAGATGGTAAAGTGCTATTGACAAAAGAGAGAGCGCAGAGTAAGAGGGACTGGGATTTCTGGCGGGGGGGGGGGGTGTTTGAGTCAGAAGCAGATTTTAAAATGCGGGCCTCACCGAGGGGGTAAGATCTCAGCAAACGACTTGAAAGACTGAGAAAGCTGGTAGAGCAGATGTCAAAGCCTCAGTATTCACTTAAGAGAAGTGGTAATTTTAGGGAAAGAATGGCTTAACAAAACTTGATGTATTATTATTTTTCAAATTATTTTAGGTTGAAAGTGTTGAAATGACATACTAAGTGCTACATGCTACATACTTGGACCACGATGCCTTGGTTCCTTATAAAAAGAAAAGGCTTTTACACATTAGTTTTGGTGCGGTGTCCTTGGCTCTCACTGGGAAGTGCTACCTCACAGGGCTTTCTCTGACGTTTGCTGAATGGGCATTACTGAGGAAATCACGGTCTATGCCATCCTTAAGTTTCTTCCATGGAGCTGAGCTCTCCTTGAGGAGCTGAGTACTAGAGAAGCTTCACCTGAGGAACTTGTATTTTTTTCACTTTTTGGTAACAAAAACCCTGTAGGTATATGAGGTCTGTCCAGAAAATATCCAGCCACGTCCTATGAAAAATAATGGACACTTATCGAAGAAGATACAAGAAACACTGTACACAGGACAATGACACCTTAGTCTCCTTCAAAGTAGGCACCATGGGACCTCACACAGTTTTCCCAATTGCCATCAGCTGTCCTGTTGTATTTTCCTGAATTTCCTCAATGGTCTGAAATCTCTTCCCTTTCGAAAGTGATTTTAGTTTTGGGAAAAGCCAGAAGTCACAGGGCGCCAAATGCGGGCTGTAGGGGGGATGATTCACCTGGGTGGTTTAATGTTTTTCCAAAAATTCTGCACGAGGCCTGATGAGGAGGCCCATTATCATGATGAAGCTGCCCATCACCAGTTGCCCACAGCTACAGCCTTCTGAATCTTCTGAATAGTTTTCATGAAGGAGTGTTCAAGCTTAACACAAAATTTGATGCAGATTGGTTGCTTTACTTGCTCAGGCATTTTGAACGCCGTGGTCACACAGTACACGTGCTCACTCAGTAGTGTCTACCGCCCCCACTGACTAGTATGGTGACATAGTCACTGTTCACACATGCATATTCCGGTCCACTCTCTTTGGCTGCCAGGTTACATCAATGTCACCCAAAGTGTTCTTGTTATATTAACAATGGCTGGACTTTTTCTGGACAGACCTTGTATGTCTCCTGATCTTGACTTCCTATTGTTTTATGTTTTCACTGGTTCTAATTTTATTGCATAGTTTTACTAAGAATTGCTTTAACATTATGCAAAACACAGTCAATTTACAAAACATTAAAATAATGAACTATTCAATACTGAGAGCAATCATTGCAATTATGACTTAAAAAAGAAAGGGAAGAAAAGAAGCCAATCATTTAATTCTCTGCTTTTATTTTGCAAAGAAAGGAATGATTGCAGCTTTTACCATAAACGATTTTGCATTAGCCACATAATTCTTATGCAGAAACATTGTTTAAAGAACAAAGACTTGCCCTGCCCTAAATATATCAAGGTATGCAAAGTTGTATACTATTTTTTAATCTTACACTTTACAAATTATGTTAAACGACAGATAAATAACAAGCACGGTCCATACCTGCTGATAAGCCATGTTGAGAAATAAGTATCTCTCTGACCTTCTCATTGGTAAGCAGAGGCTGTAGGCAACATGGACTGAAGCAAAGAAAAAACTTAGTAACCCAAGCTGTTTTCTACACTGTAACCAGGTCTCCAGCCAAGGTGGAAATCTCCTATACTTGGTTCCATAATAAAGTTGATAAGCAGCTGCCAGGAGACCTGCTAGGTACACCAGGGACAGCAAAGTAATGGCAACTATGGGCAAGGTCTTATTCACAATTTCAATAGGAATCTTGTAGAAGTCACTCTGCTGGTTTCTAGCATATGGATGTATCACATCTCGGACAAAGGAATAAAGAAAGAAAAATGTGGCCAGGCTGATGGCTACCACCACTGGCCCTCTCCAGAGAGTAAACAGTCGCAGAGGTAAATTTTCAATCTCCCTCGCTGATGATAATGATCCCAAGTCAACGGGTATAAAATTCAAATGCCGGGCAAGTTCAATAACCTGTTGTCGAGCTTGAATATTGTTGCTGCAAATATAAACCTGAAGCAAAAACAGAAGACACATCATAACATTACTTATATAATAATTATATTTAAAAATTCAATCTTATAAACATTAAGAAATAGCTCGGCATATTCTGAACTGCATATAAAAAAGAACTGCTAGTCCTAAAAAAATGGTAATGGTCCCATGCTCCACTTAATCTATGGAGTATCACTTGTGATGACTTTAAGTGATGCAAAAAATTAAAGACATAGAGGATTTATTATTAATAGATTAAAATAGTGTCATTAAAAATAAAGTCCTTGCTACCTAAGATGATATGAAAATAGAATGCAAAAAAAAAAAAAAACCAAAACAAAACCTAGCTAGAACCTGAGGTCAGGAAGTCCTCAGGGAAGGCAGGCAGGGAGAAAGGTTTCTAGACCATGTGGTTCAGCGGCACCGGTCTCCCCTTCAGTGGGGGCTGGGTGCACTTTGAGCTCCAGCTCTCCAGCTCTCCCACAGGGAACAGGGTGGGGCTGGCTCTCTAGGCCTTCCTGGGCAATATTTAGTTGTTGGTAAACCTCGTACCAACAACTAAGGCTAGTACCAAGCCTACGGTGATTCTGCCTAGTAGAGTGATTACAAGCACTGCCCTGTATTCAGGAAGAGAGAAGACAGGCATGGACTCTAGACTGAGTCCATGCAATTAAACCCTCTAAATTATATCATGATCCTACATTATTTATTAAATTTATCTTTTGGCTTAGAAGCTAATTCACCCAGTAAGTATCTCTAAGACCCCATCTCAAGAATATTATTTCACTGGTCAATATATGAGATTCTTTCATCTTTAAATTATGATTATATACCTGCAGAGTGGGAAAGTGGTATTTACAAGGCGCAGTTCATTTAAAAAGTAAATCAACCGCCATTTCCTAACACTGAGGTGTCAGCTCTACAGGAAACTCATGATAGAGGAGTGGGGGTGAGGGTCGGCTTCCACACCACCAAAGCCTCCTAGACACACCACTGCAGGGGAGAAGCCAACACATATTTGCAGAGCACCAAATTCACTGCTGCAGTAGGTCATCTCCCTCAGGGCCAGAAAGATACTGTTACTAAACCTCTGAATGATGTTTGGGGAAAACACTCCTACACAGCACTATCCCTGCAGACGTTTATATAAGGGCTCTGGAGGGGACCGTGCTGAAACATTTGCAGGCTAAACCTATCGACATTGTGCTCATAATGTAAAAAGCTCTTTGGATTATTAATTTTACCTAGTGTAGGCAGAGAGGTGATACAGCCTATACTATTATACAAATGTTCATGACCTTCTAAAATGGAATGAGGAACATACCCATATGACAAAGAAATGAGAAAAAGTATTCCACATTAATTTATTATAGTTATGACAATGGTGAAGTAAAGTCTTTTTTTACAATATTTGTTGGAAAAAACCTATACATTATGAAATTTTATCATAAACCTAAAAATAGAAATCAAACATTAATAATAAGGACATGAGGGCTATGAAATACAAATGAAACTATTTCTGTAGCTCACTTTGAATTAAGTCGTTGTCCACAATTTTTGTTGTTGCTCAAGAATTAAAATTATCACCAATATGGGCAAAGGATTAAGTTCAGTTTCATCCCTCATTTAGCCTGTATCCAGTACTAAACTTTGTTGGATATGCAAAAGGAAAGAAAGATTCAGAAAGAGTCTCTAGGAAAGCTGGAAAATACATATTCTTTCACTAGAATAAAATTAGACTTGTGAAAATGAGTAGTTATCATGACTGATATGCCGCATACACTGATATAATACTTAAATTTATTGTCTTTAATTTTTTTAAGTAAACATTTCTTGATCCTCATCCAACGACTTCTTTTTTTTCATTGCTTTTAGAGAGAAAGGAAGGGAGAGAGCGAAACACTGATGCGAGATTGCCTTTGTCAGCACCCAGTCCGGAGATCCACGCTGGGACCAGGGGTCGCGCATACACACACGCGGACCAGGTCTCTAACCCGAAACCTAGATATGTGCCCTGATCGGAAATTGAACCCGCAACCTTTTGGTTACAGGGACGATGCTCCAACCAACTGAACCACACCAGCCAGGAGTTAAATTTATTTTCTAAGGTCCTTAATCAACTGTCTTTATGGAAAAAATAATTAAAGTATTTTATCATCATGCTTATTATAATGCACAACCACAGCTTTATTAAAAATTTTATTTATTTCATCCTCAACGGAGGATATGTTTATTGATTTTAGAGCAAGAGGAAGGCTAAGAGAGAAGGGTGGGAGAGAGAGAGGAACACAGGTCAGCTGCCTCCCACAGACTCCCGGACCAGGCACTGCACCCACAACCTGGGCATGTGCACTGACTGACAAGGTGATGGACCCCACGACCTCTGGGGGCACGGGAGGAGCCTCCGACTAACCGAGCCACCCTGCCAGGCTTAACGAAGATTTTTAACACAGACTATTTTGTATGTTTGCTTACAAAAGCTCTCATTCCCCAAATGCACTGGTGGAGTTCCCCATCTTCTTTTATTTTCAAATCGAACTAAACAGAACCCTAGACTAAAAGAGAACCTGAGAAATCCAATCTGTCTCTATCTTTCCCGCATGGATTAAAATCTACACGTAAAAAAGATGTACTATTTTAATAAGTTGTGTGAACAATCTGTGTAAGACTATTAAACATTAAATAGTATTTCACAGAGATGGAACACTGTTACCAAATACCTGCAAGAAAGAAAGAGGGAGGCACAAGGAGCAGGGAGGGAAGAAAGATGGGAGGGCGGGAGGGAAAGCGAAAGGACACGTTTGCTGTATTTCTGTTTTTGAGGAAGGAGAGACTCGATGCCATGCAATGTGTCCCATTATTTGTCAGCCAACCTTGCCTTTTCTTGAGTTAGCTGGTTATGACGGAAAAGTCCAAGTTATTTTCTCAGCTTTCCACATGATTTTGAGCCTAGAAATGTGCCCCTACAAGACCAGCACATGAACTTTCAGGTTCTTATACATGGTTCCCAAAATGATCATGAGTAGAGGGTGTAAGAATTTGGTTTTTAAATATATGATATTTGTTTAACTACATAACTACAACATACCAGATGAGAATAAAATGTAAAAATACCTACCTGCCGGCTGGCATCCTTAGGTCCTAGCTGAAGTGTCCAGGCTGAGATGACATTAAACCCTTTGACGATCAGTGAATCCGGGAATAAGGAAGCCAAGTATTCAGCATTGGATTCTGGGTATTGGTTTATCCTCATGTTATTGCTCACATCAATCAGGATTTTACCCACCAGCAAATGCCTCAGGTCCCACAGGGAGGTGTAATGCTCTCGGTGTATAGCGATAAAGATTATATTTGTTTTTGTTAGTGCATCTTCATGATGAGTGACATCTACCACATGAGGAAAAAATTCAGAAGCAAATTTAGGATTTCTACTTCCGATGACCACATGATAGCCACATCTAATAAGTCGGATGGTCAAGGATTTGGCGAAATCCCCACTTCCAATCACACCTACAGTGACCTTCCTTGCGTCTTTGATACCATTTATGCCATTAGGCAAAAAAGTCTCACTAAGGCTCTTAGGGCTTCCCATCATAGAGATGGATTCCATGATGCAGGCTCTTCTAAGATCACCAGGATATCCTAGGAGAGAGAGATAAAACACTCATCCATTACCTCTTACCAAACATTAATACACTTCTAGGCATTATAATATGTGCCTTGTTTCCAGAGGTAAAATATTTTGGCAAGCTATATCACCTAGAACAGAGCGAGACAATTGGTAAGCTAAAAAAGGATCTCAAATTAGAAAAATGAACTGTCACAAAGTTGATAGGCTCAAGTGGGGCTTCTCGAATTTTAATATGCTCACGAATCACCTGAGAATCTTGTTAAAACATTGTTTCTGACTCAGGAGATCTGGAGTGAGGCCCAAGATTCTGCATTTCTAACAAGGTGAGCTGATGTTGCTGTTCGGCAGGGCCCTCTGAGCAGCAAGGGACTACAGCACAACAGAAAGAGACCAAAGTCTTTATCCAGAACTTCTTCTCAGCAGATCAGAGGCAGCAAATCAGAAAAGCTGCTAGAGGTAGAAAGGACTGTGATAGGATGTGATAGTACAAAGGACAACAGAAACAGAAAAACAAGGAGCCCTGGCCAGGTAGCACAGTTGGTTAGTGAGTTGTCCTGATGGCCAAGGTTTGCAGGTTCGATTCCTGGTCAGGGCACATGAGAATCAACCAATGAATGCACAAGTGAGTTGAACAACAAACTGGTGTTTCTCACTCTCAAATCAATAAATAAAAATAATTAAAAAAAAACTTAAATCCAAACCGTCCAGAGTCACTAGGGGTGAAACCTATAAACTATCCTATAAACCTCAGTAGCTAGTGTGTGACTTTATTAAATGAGAATAAGGTAAATCAGCTAGTTAAAAAAGGAACTTGGTACTTAAATAATATCCTAAGAAAAAGAGGCATCAAAATATAACAAAGGATTAATTAAATATCCTTGGCTTCTATCAGGCACCCTAAAGTTTATGGTCTGTGTTCATGGTCATAAACCTGTGTTTATGGTCTTAAACCATACAATATGTATAAAATCTTTTTCTTCTCCTTTTATTCACTGTTGGAATAGAATACGATGCAGTTACTCTTTCTGGAAAAAAAAAACTGGTCAAATTCTTTTGTAAGTGACTAACGTCTGAAATGTTTGTAATACTTGCTCAGGAATACCAATCCGATTGCCATGAAGCGGTTTCACTAATGGGACTGAATGAGAACATCCTTCCTTCCGCTCCCCACTGCACAATTTCTTTTCTGCTGAAAATAAATGTGGATCACTTCAGAGGATTTAATGGATTTTACAGGAATACGTGGAATATTTCCAAAATGTGCTTTTGGGGCTTTTACTAAATGAAATCTGAAATTACTAGAGCCAGGAATAGTTAACTTTTTACCTTAGAAATGGATCACATTCAATGTCTAAAAAAAAAACAACCCAGTAAATTATTCTTTAGAAAGACAATATAATATTACCTAATACTCATTATAGCACATTCTTTGTCAGTTTTGTTTGTGTTTTATACATTAACTGATTGAATCCCTACAAGCACTCTGGAGAGAGCTGCTAATATTGTCATGTTCCAAGTGAGACAGGCAGATGATAATTCTTTTCTCTAAGGTCATAAGAGAGAAAGTGGGGGAGCCAGGATTCGAATCCAGGCAGTCCAGCCAAGACTTGTGTCACCTGGGCGCACAGAAGGAATTTAATAAAGGGCTTTTTCTACGGGTGTGGGGGAGCGGGGAGAGTTGTGCTCATACTAGTATATTCTTCTTCTTTGGCCACATCGTTACTCCTCAGCATTACCTAGTCTAACTCAGATCCTGGGAAAGGAGAAAACTCACTATTTTAATATATTACATGTGCTTCACACTTCTCAAGATGGAAGGGACGGTAATTATCTGCTTCCCCTTGGCGTGATTCCAGGCACCCAGAAGGCCAGGAGGGGCTCAGGTGCACCAGGGCAGTAGAAAAACATCAACGTCCTCCTGGAGAACTCATGGGCCGTCCTGTTTATTCAGGAGCAGTTAAAAGAAGCAGAAGTAATTTAGTGAATTTCATTCAACAAGCCTACCCCTAGTTATACACGTTATCTGAGGGTGTAACGGTTATCAGACTCACACTCAGGAACCCAAGTGTCCTATACCCCAGCCCTGAGTTCTTCTGAGTACAGACTGCAGCATCTCCCAAAGTATGAAAACTGAAAAATCTTTAAATCTAAGAAACCATGAAGTTCAAGGCCTTTTCAAACTAAAAACAAAAGCAAAACAATTTATCAGTTATCTGCTAATAATTTTATAAAGCAAATTAACCCCTTCAGTGAATCAAATGTGAACAGGTAAAAATACATTAGGACCTAATAATGTCACTTATGGGCTTCTCATTATACCTTGCATTTTTATACATGTTTATGGGTAACTGTTCTAACACGTTTGGGCCTTATTCACATTATATTTCTAATGGCAAGTTCTAATTGAACCCTTAAGTGGCTGTGACTACAAATAAAAATTGGCCTAATAAATGAGACTCTTTGTACTAAATATTTTTAAGGAATGGAAAAGCGTTGAGGTGGGGGGAGGCAGGAAATGCCTGTGAAGAATCTGAGAGATAGGTATTTGTATATTGTTGAAAGCACATATTAAAATATGCTTGTGTGCTACTTAATAGTTCGCATTTTTATATATAGTATCACCTTATTGAAGATTAAAAGGGCTGTGGAGCACATATTATGCCCATTTAAAAAATGAGGAAACAAGCTGAGAGAATGAGTGATTATCTTAAGACAACGCCATTTGTAATGACCCAATCAGGATTCAAACCTGAGTCTTCCCACCCCTCCTCATTCTAAAACTGCAACGCAAAAATCTATGAGGAATCTTAAAATTGTCTAGATCTCCAAATGTCATCTGCAACTATATTCTCTAAAATCAATACTAACTTTACATAGTTTCAATATGAACCTCAGCTTAGGATAATTTTAGGTAAATCCAGAGCTATACACTTAGGAATTTTAGCTACAAAATGGATAAAATGTGGAAATAATTTCAATTTGGGGATCAAAACCAAAGAACTGAATTTAGTAATACTATAAAACAAAACATGCATGGTTGCTGGGTAACCTCTGGAGAACCCAGGCTGCCAACCCAATTGTCTTCTGGGGACTCTGCAGAGCACTCTGCTTTTAGCAGGAGGGAGGAAGAAAGGGGGAAGAAACGTGTCCGCATCCCAGGCAACTCGGCCATACACACACCCAAGAGCAACTCATCTCCACAAGCTACGCCAGCCATCTGGTGCTGAGACACTGCAGCACCATCTCATCCATCAATTTCTAATTTGCCAACTTCGATACGGGTCACTTGGTTAACCGCTGAGTTTCATTAACACTTTTGATATCCATAAAAACGGGGTTATAAAAAAAGGAATAATGTCAACATCTGAAGGAGGGTTGCCTAGTATTTACGAAAAAGAAAACTGAAAACCTTACATTGTACATTTCCACTGACAAGAAATGATGCGACTGTAATTTAAAGGCAGACCTACCCTGCTGTGACCCAGCATGAATTTATTGAGGCTGCTTCGCATGTGAGAGGTAAAGGACAAGAGAAGAATGGTGGTTACACTCAAGAAATTTACATTCTAGTTACGAAGAGATGAGCTGTAGTTAGAACAAAAAGCAGGAAAAAACCCTCACATCTTCATATAATAAAGAGCTAGATTGTACGATCAGAATGTGGTTACTCTGGAAAACCAGGGAACAGAAATACCACATGGTGTTCTCTAACCCTAACCCATTCATATATATAAAACTGTACTTACAAAATAATCTCTCAATTACCCAGGACTGGCCCTGGCTGGGTGGCTGAGCTGGTAAGAGTGTTGTCCTGATACACCGAGATGGCGGGTTCCATCTTGGTTGGGGCACATACAAGAAGCAACCAATGAATGAATGAATGAATGAGTGGAACAACAAACTTCTCTGTCCCTTTCTCTCTCTCAAATCAATCAATAAAAAAAATAATAAAAAATAAATTACACAGGACTACTTCAACCCATGATGATGACAGTGCACTACAGGTTTGATTAAGCTTAAAACTATAAGGATCAAAAGTTAAATTTGGCTTTTCTGTGACCTCACCTTAAAAGTGCTGGGGCATTGGCTTCCAAATAGGAAGTCATCACTGGTCTACAGAAATTAAAAAGTACATGGAACAAATGAAGATTTTTTAAAAAGCACACACCAAACAATCTGACTTAAAAATGGGCAGAAGATCTATCTTTTTAAAAGATTTTATTTATTTTTACAGAGAGAGGAAGGGAGAGTGAAAGAGAGGGAGAGAAACATCAGTGTGTGGTTGCCTCTCACATGCCCACAACTGGGGACCTGGCCCACAACCCAGGCATGTGCTGGGTTTTGAACCAGGAGCCTTTTGGTTCATAGGCTGGCACTCAATCCACTGAGCCACACCAGTCAAGGCAAAAAAATGCGCAGAAGATCTTAAAAGACATTTTTTCATTGTCTATGAAGACATACAGATGGCCAGTAGGCACACGAAAAGTTACTCAATATCACAACGAGATACCACTTCACACCCATCAGGACCGTTAGCAAAAAGACAGAAAAAATAACAGGTGTTGGCTGTGGAGAAAAAGGAACCCTTGTGCATTGTTAGTGGGAATGTAAACTGGTGCAGCCACTGTGGAAAACACCTGAGACTAAGATAATATTGTAAGTTGGTTATACTTCCATAGATTTTTAAGCATAGAGGCATAGTAGGAAGTTCTCCATAAAACTATTCAACTTAAAGAATTGTCCTTTACTCTGACAGAAAGTCTTTCTTACTTTATGTGGACAAAATGTCCTTTTTTCATAAAAGGACAGTGATAACAACAGTTGCTTGTGTCAGCAGCCCCATAAAGATTCCCTCCTTCCTTTTCACTTTATTGGTCTGTAATATCTGCAAGTCTGAAGGCCACCGACTTAGACATTCGGAAGCTCTCTGTATGAAAGTGCCCCTGAGACCTGCTGGAGAGAAAACCTTTCTAGAGAGGGGAGAAAGGCCCCCATAGGTGATGTCCGCTGA